CTGGCGGCTACACCGCCCTACTTGTACAACGTGCCCTTAACGCCGCACAGCTTCTTCTTCAGCGAGATGTTGCGCTCGTTCGTGCAGGCGAAGAGCGAGGTGTCGTCGGCCAGCAACACGTCGACGAGCGCCCCTCGCCGCCGCAAGAGATCGTGGAGGGACGCTCGGGATCGGCCGTTGGAGTTGACCACGAAGGAGAGGCAGCAGCATCACCATCATCACCACCACCATCACCATCACTCTCAACAACAACAGCAACAACAACAACAACAACAACAACAACAACAACAATCGACGATAGACAAATACTTCCAACATGGCCAACAGCAGGCGGAGACGAGATTGGAGAACGGAGGCAAGAGCGACGGCTACGACCCGGCCAGCAAAGTGGGCAACTTCGAGCAGAAGCCAAGCTTCGACATCTTGAAACCGGTTGACGAGAACAAGAGTGAATTCGGGAAGCAGAGCAAGTGTTTCTTCGACGAGAGGCCGCGCCACTTCGAGCAGGCCCAACCGCCCGAGACGATGTTCCCAGGCGAGTTGCACAAGGTGAAGCCGGAGGAGACCCACTCGGGCGAGCGCAAGAGTTGCAATTACAACGACAGAAATCATCCGTACGACGAGCGCGGCGCGAAGGGGAATCCGATAGGGAATCAAGACTTACCCCCCCTCCTGTCGGATCAGAAGAAGCTCGATTTCTCGAGGAATTTTCTCCCCGGCCTTCCACCACGGGGCTGCGAGATGCTCCCATCCGTGAAAGGATTCGGCCTACCAGGGAACGTGGCCAACCCGGAATTCCTCCCCGGCCCGCTTTGGTACCCGCCCTACCCAATCCCCCAATCCTATCCAGGCATCGACCCCTTGCACTTTTTCATCGATCTTCGCGTGTCCGGCCACATTTGGGACAGGAAGCTGAGCGAGAGGCAGCTCCCGTTCAAGGGGAAGCATTGCTCGGCGTTCAGCGTGCCCCAGTCCAAGGAGTACAACAGCAACAGACCGTTGAACTTGACGAGGGACGAGGCTGGCACGTCGAAGAGCGGCGAGGAAAATCCACGCGGCACCAATTACATCCTCAGACATCTGACCAGGACGTACAGGGACATCGGCCAGGCGAGGAAAGGATCAAGGAGCGAAACGTCGGGATCCGGGGACAGCGAGGATAATTCGAAGGACGTTGATAACAATAGTGGGTGTTCACGTTTAAAGTTGTTTGTCTTTTCTTATATATATAAATGTTCGTGCTTTTGTTCGAGTTGTATTACTTTTTGTTAATATACATTTGAGTGTCTTAGTGGAACGATACGTGATAATTGAGAAAATTGGTTCCTTTTTATCTTTTAGTTTAACTTGATCTTTTAGTATCGAAATATATCGTAAATATCGAGCTTTAAATTACGATTAAATTAAATTAAATTTAATTCTTTGATAAAATTGATAATACTTCCACTTCTTCTTGTGGAATGTTATTCTGAAAATGGTAAAAATTCTCTTCTTCGTTGAATACAGTTTTTCTATTTCTGCTTTCCGTTTCAGACAAAACTGTTTCGATAAAAGATGAACGAAAAGTTTAATACCTTTTTTTACTTTTTAATAAGTAAGAAAGAAAGAGGTTAATTATCTTTGATTAATTTTAAAAATTTTGTTACAAAACGCAGGCGAGAGGTCCCCGAAGCAGGAGGACATCGCGGTTGCCTCGACGAGCCCGGAAGAGGAGAGGAAAGATCTTCGAGCGTTGATAGGGTTGGAGTTGGTCGTGGATTACGTGAAAGAGCCGAAGGGGGATACCTCGAACGAGCAGAGTTCGCAAGTAACCGAATAACTCGTGAAAATCGAACCATCCTTTTTTTCGTTATCGCCTGTATAAATTAGCATGTAGCTTACCGACACTTTTACCGACCTACCGGCCTGATTTTCACTCGACTACTTCGTCGTTCATATAGAGAGACAGACTTAAAACAAAAAAACGCGGAGACTTCTTTCGATCGTTGCAGAACAAATCAAAAGTTAAAAAAACGGATCGTCAACCGAATATTAGATTTGCTAATTGCTATACACTTAATGATAAACAATATATTTCGTTCCCTTGTATCCTCGTATCTTAAGAAATTTGATTTCTTAATATTTATTGATATTTATTATCGTTTTTATCGAACGAATTTTATTCTTTCTTTTTTTTTTTTTTTTTTGAGACATTTC